CTATAGACTAGACTATAGACTAGACTATAGACTAGACTATAGAATAGACTATAGACTAGACTATAGACTAGACTATAGATTAGACAATAGACAGAACTGAACTAGAACTGAACAAGAACTAAACTAGAACTGAACTAGAACTGAACTAGAACTGAACTAGAACTGAACTAGAACTGAACTAGAACTGAACTAGAACTGAACTAGAACTGAACTAGAACTGAACTAGAACTGAACTAGAACTGAACTAGAACTGAACTAGAACTGAACTAGAACTGAACTAGAACTGAACTAGAACTGAACTAGAACTGAACTAGAACTGAACTATAACTGAACTAGAACTGAACTAGAATGAACTAGAACTGAAACTGAACTAGAACTGAACTAGAACTGAACTAGAACTGAACTAGAACTGAACTAGAACTGAACTAGAACTGAACTAGAACTGAACTAGAACTGAACTAGAACTGAACTAGAACTGAACTAGAACTGAACTAGAACTGAACTAGAACTGAACTAGAACTGAACTAGAACTGAACTAGAACTGAACTAGAACTAGAACTGAACTAGAACTGAACTAGAACTAGACTGAACTAGAACTGAACTAGAACTGAACTAGTCTATAGACTAGACTAAAGACTAGACTATGGACTAGACTATAGACTAGACTATAGACTAGACTATAGACTAGACTATAGACTAGACTATAGACTAGACTATAGACTGGACTATAGACTAGACTATAGACTAGACTATAGACTAGACTATAGACTAGACTATAGACTAGACTATAGACTAGACTATAGACTAGACTATAGACTAGACTATAGACTAGACTATAGACTAGACTATAGACTAGACTATAGACTAGACTATAGACTAGACTATAGACTGGACTATAGACTAGACTATAGACTAGACTATAGACTAGACTATAGACTAGACTATAGACTATAGACTAACTATAGACTAGACTATAGACTAAACTATAGACTATAGATTAGACAATAGACAGAACTGAACTAGAACTGAACAAGAACTGAACAAGAACTAAACTAGAACTGAACTAGAACTGAAGTAGAACTGAACTAGAACTGAACTAGAACTGAACTAGAACTGAACTAGAACTGAACTAGAACTGAACTAGAACTGAACTAGAACTGAACTAGATCTGAACTAGAACTGAACTAGAATTCAGCTAGAACAAATTATGCTCTAAATATTCCTTATCAGATGAAAATAAATACAATTTATCAGTGACGTAGTATGATTATGATGGCGCACATTCTGCCAATAATGTCTATCATCATCACTATAATAAGTTTTTCTTAGTGTCATGATGTGAAGTGTCTGATACTTCAAATGTGACTGTGAGATAACTACTCTGAAGTATGTGAACTATTTACTGCATTTTCAAACACTCAATATTGTTTTCAATTTCATCGAAACTCATACTCGAATATGTAAAATCATTTTATATACTAAATACATTTGTTTGTTTCTATCTATACATCTAGTATGTTGATAGAGTAAATGACTATAACTGCAGCATAACCACTGCAACCAACTATGAAAATAAAAGATGATTTTTCATAGCAACCAAAAAAAAGTCTATTTAATACTATAGAAATGACATGAAAAATAAAATTTTAAGCTGAAAATATAGTAAGTGTTCAAAAAATAGACTACAATCTACAAAATATTTTTAAATGTACGTACACACACTTGTATTTAAACTATACAAGTATACAACAATACAAAAAATATATATAAATTTTAGGTCATGGTCAAAAAATATATAAAATATAACTAGAAAAATACATACACACACATAGAAATAGAGAAAGTTTAATATATGTATATATTCAAACCAAAAGATCATATTTAATGAATGCAAATTGTATGCATAATTGAATAAAAATTTCAAATTCTCTGTACACAAACAGCCACAATAATATAAATATAGCAAAAGAAACAACAAAATATTTGACATCTTTTATCGAAAACATTTAATTGAAATGAATTTAAAATAATAAATAAAAAAAACTTACACCTAAAAGCCTACTTAACATATTAATTTTTACAGCAATCCTGAAAGTATGCCTTAAAAATTTAAACTTTAAAATTTCTCTCAACAATTCTCTATTTACTTATGTATGTGTCTGTGTGTAAGTATCTTATTTTTACTATTGTTTCTATATGCGAACTACAAAAACAACAACAACAACAATAAAACAAATTTTATAAAAATAACCAAACGCTGCGAAAAACAAATTTTCAACAATCAATGAACTTCAATTTATTTCATACAATGTGATTTGGCAAAAAGAAGAAAAAGACGAAATACGAGCAAAAAAAAAAAACTCATTCTATAGAGCAAATAAATACACGTGTAGCTAAATGAATTCCTGACACATTGAATTTGTTATTGTGCGGTATTTTTTCATTACTGTTTTTCTTTGTTGTTATTGTTGTCCTTTGTGTCAGTTTTTTGTTCGTCCTTTTCAGGTTTTGTAACCTTAGGAAACTTTTAATTCAAACCGTTTCGCTCTTTTTATGCTCTAAAAGCTTAGAGTACAAGTATTTTAGCAAATAAGCTTTTTGAGTTAAAAGCTTTTTAGGAGAGTTTAACGGACATTGTTTTCCAACTCTTCTTTAAGTACATTGTTGTCCCAAAATAACCGTTTGTCAAAAAACCACCCCTTTAGTCAACGGTTATCAAAAGTGTAAACAATTGCCCCTTAAGAAGGGATGATATTTGTTTGGTACTTTACGTATAGAAAAATTGCCCCTTAATCGGTATAACCCTTCTTTAACTTCATGACAAAAACTATAGGTTAACGGCAATCCAACACAAAAATGTAAACAACTACCCCTTAAGGGAGCAGATTTCGAAATAACTGTTCTAGTTTAGTTCTAGTTCTGTTCTAGTTCTGTTCTAGTTCTGTTCTAGTTCTGTTCTAGTTCTGTTCTAGTTCTGTTCTAGTTCGGTTCTAGTTCTGTCAGTTCTGTTTTCTGTTGTAGTTCTGTTCTTAGTTCTGTTCTAGTTCCGTCTAGTTCTGTTCTAGTTCTGTTAGTTCTAGGTCTGTTGTCTAGTTCTGTTCTAGTTCTGTTCTAGTTCTTGGTTCTAGTTCTGTTCTAGTTCTGTTCTGTTCTAGTTCTTGTTCTAGTTCGGTTCTAGTTCTGTTCTAGTTCTGTTCTAGTTCGGTTCTAGTTCTGTTCTAGTTCTTTCTAGTTCTGTTCTAGTTCTGTTCTAGTTCTGTTCTAGGTCGTTTCTAGTTCAGTTCTAGTTCATGTTCTAGTTCTGTTCTATTCTGTTCTAGTTCTGTTCTAGTTCTGTTCTAGTTCTGTTCTAGTTCTGTTCTAGTTCTGTTCTAGTTCTGTTCTAGTTCTGTTCTAGTTCTGTTCTAGTTCTGTTCTAGTTGTTCTAGGTTCTGTTCTAAGTTCTTAGTTCTGTTCTAGTTCTGTTCTAGTTTCTGTTTAGTTCTTTCTAGTTCTGTTCTAGTTCTAGTCTAGTTACGTTCTAGTTCTAGTTCTAGTTCTGTTCTAGTTCTGTTTAGTTCTGTTCTAGTTCTGTTCTAGTTCTGTTCTAGTTCTGTTCTAGTTCTGTTCTAGTTCTGTCTAGTTTTTCTAGTCTGTTCTAGTTCTGTCTAGTTCTGTTCTAGTTCTGTTCTAGTTCTGTTCTAGTTCTGTTCTAGTTCTGTTCTAGTTCTGTTCTAGTTCCTGTTCTATGTTCTGTTCTAGTTCTGTTCTAGTTCTGTTTCTAGTTCTGTTCTAGTTCTGTTCTAGTTCTGTTCTAGTTCTGTTCTAGTTTCTGTTCTAGTTCTGTTCTAGTCTGTTCTAGTTCTGTTCTAGTTCTGTTCTAGTTCTGTTCTAGTTCTGTTCTAGTTTCTGTTCTAGTTCTGTTCTAGTTCTGTTCTAGTTCTGTTCTAGTTCTGTTTCTAGTTCTGTTCTGTTCTGTTCAGTTCTGTTCTAGTTCTGTTCTAGTTCTGTTTCTAGTTCTGTTCTAGTTCTGTTCTAGTTCTGTTCTAGTTCTGTTCTAGTTCTGTTCTAGTCTGTTCTAGTTCTTGTTCTAGTTCTGTTCTAGTTCTGTTCTAGTTCTGGTTCTAGTTCTGTCTAGTTCTGTCTAGTTCTGTTCTAGTTCTTTTCTAAGTTCTGTTCTAGTTCTGTTCTAGTTTCTGTTCTAGTTCTGTTCTAGTTCTGTCCTAGGTCTGTTCTAGTTCTGTTCAGTTCCTGTTCTAGTTCTGTCTAGTTCTGTTCTAGTTCTGTTTCTAGTTACTGTTCTAGTACTGTTCTAGTTCTGTTCTAGGTTCTGTTCTAGTTCTGTTTCTAGTTCTGTTCTAGTTCTGTTCCTAGTTCTGTTCTAGTCTGGTCTAGTTCTGTTCTAGTTCTGTTGCTAGTTCTGTTCTAGTTCTGTTCTAGTTCTGTTTCTAGTTCTGTTCTAGTTCTGTTCTTGTTCTTCTAGTTCTGTTTTCTAGTTCTGGTTCTGTCTGTTCTAGTTTCTGTACTAGTTCTGTACTAGCTCTGGTCTATTTGTTCTAGTGCTATTCTAGTTCTGTTATAGTACAGTCCTACTTAGTTCAGTTCAATTTCTCAAACAAATCTTTATTCGGTTGTGAACTGAGCTAATGTCATGGTAACTCTACACATAATTCTATAATTAAGATGAAAAAACTATATTTAGCAAATTATTAAAATTGTTATCAGTTTAACATATTTTCTAAGGGGATGTACTTTCAAGACATCTATTTAATACAAGACAAACTGATAATTCCAGCTCATTGTTAAAGTGATTCATTGGGAAGCAGCAGTAGCAAAACAGAGATAATGGCAAGGGAACCCCCCAGTTTTTAAATATTTATAAAAGAATTAAACTTGACCTAAACACTTTGTATATATTACTCAGTATATTTAAATTTAAAAAAATGATTGAACTTTTGTGCAAAAAAATTATATTCAATATTTATTTTGCATAAAAAACACAAATTTTGATTAATGTTTTTTTTCTTAAATACTTATACCTTATTAAAAAGCAATTTATTAAATACTTAATAACTATATAATAAAATTTTAAACCTTAATCCCAAATCACCAGTCATTATATCTAAAACCCAACCCAAAACCATAATCATTTTGACCCCCATAGGGTCCATTAAACCATCTAGAGGCCCCAGCATTTGCATTCAATGTAGCACGACCATCCTGAGAGGTAAACAGATTTGTATAACCATTCACTTCAGCCTTCTTGCCTATACCCGAGTAGCGTGTTAGACCAGCATTTAAACCATGACCATCAGCATGTGTATAATCCAATAGACCACCAGTTTTACCAAAATTATAACCATTATTATAAGCAACATTCGTATCAAAGAAACTGGCATCTAAATTGTGTTTCCTGTTATGGAAGAGATTGGCTATGGCTGCTTTTGTTTCAGTTTCACTGATGCCTTTGTTATTTTCGCGACTGAAGGAAGCTCCATGGCCATTGGCATTACTCCATTTAAAAGTTACAAATTTAAGTTCGGGGCTAGAATTAAAATTAGGGCCTTTTATTTTGGTATTCATTTGTCCGACATGGGCCGAAATAGCATTTGAATTATCCAATTTTAGATTTGCTTGTGCCTGTTTAATAAATGAATCGCTAATGTCAGTTTGGGTTTTGGTAACCGAGGCACTAAGACCATTGCTGAAAAAAATATAAAAATTAATTCATTTTTTTTTTAATTTTTTCTTAAACCTTACCTTCCCCCTCCTATGGTAATCCCTCTTAAAGTATTTCCTCCTTCGGTATTTCCCTGAGCAAAAGCTTTACCAAAAGCTGTGCCATGTTCATTTCCTATAACTTTAGTAGCTGACACAGAAACATCATGACCACCATTAGGATTTTTCGCCACTGTATGTCCTGTAATGACTTCTCTTCTAACTCGTATAGGTTGTGCTGAATGCTGCATGGAAGGTGGATAGACTATTTGGGGATAAGCTGAAACCACAGCCATAAAAGCCAAGCAGGCTGCCAATATAAAAATACTTTTCATTTTTAAATAATTTAAATTTAATTATGTTTTCTATTTGAATAAGTTTTTGCTACTGCGTTCAGATCATGAAAATCTTGTAGCTTTTATATTGAATAAATTTGTTTTGTTATCAGTAACCTGGAAATACCCAAGCATCTTTTAATAGACTGGGATAAGGGGATTTTTCTTTTAAACATAATTTTTGCAAAGAACCAAAAATGTAAATACTTTTGGATTATTATTAAAGAGGAATCCCCCTTAAATGCATAAAAACACAAAGTTCAACTATTATTCCAATCTGTAATGTAAATTCTTTGGGATCATTCTTAAAGAGGAATCCCCCTTAAATGCAAAAAACACCGTGTCTGTTCCACATTAGATCTAGTAAATTTTCCAGTCCTATTTCAGCTCCATTTCTAGTACTAGTTCAGTTCTAGTTCAATTCTATTTCAGTTCTAGTTCAGTTCTAGTTCAGTTCTAGTTCAGTTCTAGTTCAGTTCTAGTTCAGTTCTAGTTCAGTTCTAGTTCAGTTCTAGTTCAGTTCTAGTTCAGTTCTAGTTCTAGTTCAGTTCTAGTTCAGTTCTAGTTCAGTTCTAGTTCAGTTCTAGTTCAGTTCTAGTTCAGTTCTAGTTCAGTTCTAGTTCAGTTTCTAGTTCAGTTCTAGTTCAGTTTCTAGTTCAGTTCTAGTTCAGTTCTAGTTCAGTTCTAGTTCAGTTTCTAGTTCAGTTCTAGTTCAGTTCTAGTTCAGTTCTAGTTCAGTTCTAGTTCAGTTCTAGTTCAGTTCTAGTTCAGTTCTAGTTCAGTTCTAGTTCAGTTCTAGTCTCAGTTCTAGTTCAGTTCTAGTTCAGTTCTAGTTCAGTTCTAGTTCAGTTCTAGTTCAGTTCTAGTTCAGTTCATTAGATCAGTTCTAGTTCAGTTCTAGTTCAGTTCTAGTTCAGTTCTAGTTCAGTTCTAGTTCAGTTCTAGTTCAGTTCTATTCAGTTCTAGTTCAGGTCTAGTACAGTTCTAGTTCAGTTCTAGTTCAGTTCTAGTTCAGTTCCGTTCTAGTTTAGTTCTAGTTCAGTTCAGTTCTAGTTTAGTTCTAGTTCAGTTTCAGTTCTAGTTCAGTTCTAGTTCAGTTCTAGTTCAGTTCTAGTTCAGTTCTAGTTCAGTTCTAGTTCAGTTCTAGTTCAGTTCTAGTTCAGTTCTAGTTCAGTTCTAGTTCAGTTCTAGTTCAGTTCTAGTTCAGTTCTAGTTCAGTTCTAGTTCAGTTCTAGTTCAGTTCTAGTTCAGTTCTAGTTCAGTTCTAGTTCAGTTCTAGTTCAGTTCTAGTTCAGTTCTAGTTCAGTTCTAGTTCAGTTCTAGTTCAGTTCTAGTTCAGTTCTAGTTCAGTTCTAGTTCAGTTCTAGTTCAGTTCTAGTTCAGTTCTAGTTCAGTTCTAGTTCAGTTCTAGTTCAGTTCTAGTTCAGTTCTAGTTCAGTTCTAGTTCAGTTCTAGTTCAGTTCTAGTTCAGTTCTAGTTCAGTTCTAGTTCAGTTCTAGTTCAGTTCTAGTTCAGTTCTAGGTCAGTTCTAGTTCAGTTCTAGTTCAGTTCTAGTTCAGTTCTAGTTCAGTTCTAGTTCAGTTCTAGTTCAGTTCTAGTTCAGTTCTAGTTCTGTTCTAGTTCAGTTCTAGTTCTGTTCTAGTTCTGTTCTAGTTCTGTTCTAGTTCTGTTCTAGTTCTGTTCTAGTTCTGTTCTAGTTCTGTTCTAGTTCTGTTCCAGTTCTGTTCTAGTTCTGTTCTAGTTCTGTTTTAGTTCTGTTCTAGTTCTGTTCTATTTCTGTTCTAGTTCTGTTCTAGTTCTGTTCTAGTTCTGTTCTAGTTCTGTTCTAGTTCTGTTCTAGTTCTGTTCTAGTTCTGTTCTAGTTCTGTTCTAGTTCTGTTCTAGTTCTGTTCTAGTTCTGTTCTAGTTCTGTTCTAGTTCTGTTCTAGTTCTGTTCTAGTTCTGTTCTAGTTCTGTTCTAGTTCTGTTCTAGTTCTGTTCTAGTTCTGTTCTAGTTCTGTTCTAGTTCTGTTCTAGTTCTGTTCTAGTTCTGTTCTAGTTCTGTTCTAGTTCTGTTCTAGTTCTGTTCTAGTTCTGTTCTAGTTCTGTTCTAGTTCTGTTCTAGTTCTGTTCTAGTTCTGTTCTAGTTCTGTTCTAGTTCTGTTCTAGTTCTGTTCTAGTTCTATTCTAGTTCTGTTCTAGTTCTGTTCTAGTTCTGTTCTAGTTCTGTTCCAGTTATGTTCTAGTTCTGTTCTAGTTCTGTTCTAGTTCTATTCTAGTTCTGTTCTAGTTCTGTTCTAGTTCTGTTCTAGTTCTGTTCTAGTTCTGTTCTAGTTCTGTTCTAGTTCTGTTCTAGTTCTGTTCTAGTTCTGTTCTAGTTCTGTTCTAGTTCTGTTCTATTTCTGTTCTAGTTCTGTTCTATTTCTGTTCTAGTTCTGTTCTAGTTCTGTTCTAGCTCTGTTCTAGTTCTGTTCTAGTTTTGTTCTAGTTATGTTCTAGTTCTGTTCTAGTTCTGTTCTAGTTCTATTCTAGTTCTGTTCTAGTTCTGTTCTAGTTCTGTTCTAGTTCTGTTCTAGTTCTGTTCTAGTTCTGTTCCCGTTCTGTTCTAGTTCTGTTCTAGTTCTGATCTACTTCTTTTCTAGTTCTTTCCTAGTTCTGTTCCAGTTCATTTCTAATTCAGTTATTTTGTAAGTTTTATTTTACTTCGAAATTTATTTTATAATTTTCAATATTTTATATCCGCCATTTTTCATTTAAACTCTAAATTAGTTTTGGTTTAAATTATTTTAAGCTTTCAACATTCCACACAAACGCACTTGGCAAATAAAATTATTTTCTTTAGATTTTTGTTATTATTTATATGTTTCGTAAACAAAACACGATTTCTATAAACTTTTTAAGGCCACAACTTGCTGGAATACAAAACTTGAACAAGTTTAAACTTGTCTTATCTTCCAACTACTTGTAACTTTGTATGTTTAGCTTAAGTGCTGCTACAGTATAGTTTGAGCTGTTGCAAGTTGTTCTAGCAATGCTGTTGTTTCCTTTAAGAGGAAAGATGAAAAACAAAAATGTTCTTACATGGAGTTCTATTAGTAATGCTGGATTTGCTTTAAGCAAATAAATCCGGGGTGTTGGGTGAAGAAGAAGAAGAGGAGTGGTATAACTGTTGGTATAAAAACTATCATATGGCGTGTTAAAACGCTCGTTACTAACACTTTTAAATTTTGCTAAAAGTATAGTTTTAATATATTTGTTTTTATTTGGTATACTTTTAGGAGTTATAACATGTTTTAAATATTTAAGCTTGAATAGGGAAACTTAGTTTTAGTAGTATTTGTAACAGGATCGTTAGGAATGTTGTAAATAATCAATATTTTAGTTAAAGTATTGTAAATGTGGAATGAAGTATATGAAAAGGTATTTTAGGAGTAATTAAAGCTTAATAAATATGGCATATGTTTAGGCAGTTAATGAAAAATATACGTTTTTTAATCAAATTTATTTTATTTATTAACTTTGAAACAAAAAAAATACTTTATTATCTCATCTTAAACAATGATGAAATATTTAACCTCTCCAACCATTATGAGTTAAACCCAAACCGAAACTATAATCCTTCTGACCACCAAATGGACCATTTAGCCATTTGGAGGCACCAGCATTAGCATTCAATGTTGTCAGACCATCATTTGAGGTAAACAAGTTGGAGTATCCACCCACCGAAGCCTGTTTGCCAATACCCGAGAAGCGTGTTAGACCAGCATTCAAACCATGACCATTAGCATGAGCGTAGTTGAGAAGTCCACCAGTTTTGTCAAATTTGAAACCATTATCCAAAGCAACATTGGATTTAAAGAAGGTACCATCTACTCTATGTTTATCATTTGAGAATAGATTAGCTGAAACGGACTTAGTTATGGTATCACTGACTCCCTTATTAATGTCGCGACTTATGCCGGCCGAAAGACCCAAATCATTTTTCCAAGTCAAACTGCCGCTGGTCTGTTGTGGTTTCATATCGAGTCCCTTAATACGGGTATCTATTTGTGATGCTTTGGCATTAATACTATTGAGACTATCCAATCTTAAGTTGGCCTCAGCTTGTTTTACGAAGGCATCTGCTATAGAGTTTTGAACTTTGGTAACAGAAACTCCAGCGTTAGGACTACAAATAGAAATATTTTATTAATTTTTGACCATTTGTTTCTAAATGTAAAAATATATTTACCTTGCTACACCAACGCTTACTCCTCTTACAGCATCACCGCCCTTAGTATTGCCCATAACAAAAGCTGAACCATAACCGGCAACATCTCCACTGCCTACTACTTTTGTAGCTTTAAGTCCTACATCCTGACCACCCTGAGGATTTGTAGAGATAGCTTGTTCAAATTTCGTATCACGTCTTACACGAATCATTTGTGGTCGTCTAGTAGGAGGTGGATAATAGGGCAACTTTTGCACATATACTCGTTGAGGATAAGCTTGTGCTACTGAGACCAGGGCCACTAAACCCAAACAGGATGCCAATAATAATATGCACTTCATCCTAACAGATTTTTAGTTACAATTAGTAAATTATATAATTAAAAATTTGATGTATTCTTTTTAACTTCGATGTTCTAACTGATGCTTAAGTATGAAGCAGTTGCAGCTTTTATATTCATTTAAAATGTTTCTTATCAGTAACGGGCTGCAGCACTAAATTGTGTATGAATGCCCCAATATTATTTATATTTTTGGGATAAGGGGATTTTTCTAGCCTTTAGTTATACAGATTGTATTATCTACAAGAATAATTTCTTTGATGAAAAGAGGAATCCCCTGTACAAAAGAGAATCAAATTGAAGGGTTATAAAGAAATTAATATGTATCAATTAAGAATAAAATATATGACAACATAACTAAATATAGTATCTAGAGTGTGTAATATAGTAAGGACTGTAGTCAATTGCCTGAACTAAAACTGAACTAGAACTGAACCAGAACTGAACAAGAACTGAACAAGAACTTAACTAGAACTGAACTAGAACTGAACTAGAACAGAACTAGAACATAACTAGAACAGAACTAGAACAGACTAGAACAGAACTAGAACAGAACTAGAACAGAACTAGAACAGAACTAGAACAGAACTAGAACAGAACTAGAACTAGAACAGAACTAGAACAGAACTCGAACAGAACTAGAACAAGACATAGAACAGAACTAGAACAGAACTAGAACAGAACTAGAACAGAACTAGAACAGAACTAGAACAGGAACTGAAAGAACTGAACAGAACTAGAACAGAACCTAGAAACAGAACTAGAACAGAACTAGAACAGAACTAGAACAGAACTAGAACAGAACTAGAACCGAACTAGAACAGAACTAGAACAGAACTTAGAACTGAACTGTAGAACTAGAACTTAGAACTCCCCGAAAGCTAGCACTGAACTTAGAACTGAACTAGAACTGAACTAGAACTGAACTAGAACTGAACTAGAACTGAAATAGAACTGAACTAGAACAGAACTAACTAGAACTAGAACAGGAAACTAGAAACCCAGGAACTCGAACAGAACTAGAACAGAACTAGAACAGAACTAGAACAGAACTAGAACAGAACTAGAACAGAACTAGAACAGAACTAGAACCAGAACTAGACAACTAGAAACTAGAACAGAACTAGAACAGAACTAGAACAGAACTAGAACAGAACTAGAACTAGAACAGAACTAGAACAGAACTAGAACAGAACTAGAACAGAACTAGAAGAACAGAAACTAGAACCAGAAACTAGAACAGACCTAGAACAGAACTCGAACAGAACTAGACCAGAACTAGAACAGAACTAGAACAAGAACTAGAAAGAACTAGAACAGAACTAGAACAGAACTAGAAACAGAACTAGAACAGAACTAGAAACAGAACTAGAACAGAACTAAGAACAGAACTAGAACAGAACTAGAACAGAACTAGAACAGAACTAGAACAGAACTAGACAGAACTAGAACAGAACTAGAACAGAACTTAGAACAGAACTGAACAGAAACTAGAACAGAACTAGAACAGAACTAGAACAGAACTAGAACAGAACTAGAACAGAACTCGAACAGAACTAGAACAGAACTAGAACAGAACTAGAAACAGAACTAGAACAGAACTAGAACAGAACTAGAACAGACTAGAACAGAACTAGAACAGAACTAGAACAGAACTAGAACAGAACTAGAACAGAACTAGAACAGAACTAGACAGAACTAGAACAGAACTAGAACAGAACTAGAACAAACTAGAACAGAACTAGAACAGAACTAGAACAGAACTAGAACAGAACTAGAACAGAACTAGACAAACTAACAAAACTAGAACAGAACTAGAACAGAACTAGAACAGAACTAGAACAGAACTAGAACGAACTAGAACAGAACTAGAACAGAACTAGAACAGAACTAGAACAGAACTAGAACAGAACTAGAACAGAACTAGAACAGAACTAGAACAGAACTAGAACAGAACTAGAACAGAACTAGAACAGAAACTAGATAGAACTAGAACTGAACTAGAACTGAACTAGAACTGAACTAGAACAGAACTAGAACAGAACTAGAACTAGAACAAACTAGAACAGAACTAGAACAGAACTAGAACAGAACTAGAACAGAACTAGAACAGAACTAAAAGAACATAACAACAGAACTAGAACTGAACTAGAACAGAACTAGAACAGAACTAGAACAGAACTAGAACAGAACTAGAACAGAACTAGAACAGAACTAGAATAGAACTAGAACTGAACTAGAACTGAACTAGAACTGAACTAGAACAGAACTAGAACAGAACTAGAACTAGAACAGAACTAGAACAGAACTAGAACAGAACTAGAACAGAACTAGAACAGAACTAGAACAGAACTAGAACAGAACTAGAACAGAAACTAGAACAGAACTAGAACAGAACTAGAACAAAACTGGAACAAAACTAGAACAAAACTAGAACAGAAACTAGAACAGAACTAGAACAGAACTAGAACAGAACTAGAACAGAACTAGAACAGAACTAGAACAGAACTAGAACAGAACTAGAACAGAACTAGAACAGAACTAGAACAGAACTAGAACAGAACTAGAACAGAACTAGAACAGAACTAGAACAGAACTAGACAGAACTAGAACAGAACTAGAACAGAACTTGAACTAGAACTGAACTAGAACATGAACTAGAACAGAACTAGAACAGAACTAGAACAGACTAGAACAGAACTGGAACAAAACTAGAACAGAACTAGAACAGACTAGAAAGAACTAGAACAGAACTAGAACAGAACTAGAACAGAACTAGAACAGAACTAGAATAGAACTAGAATAGAAACTAGAACTGAACTAGAACTGAACTAGAACTGAACTAGAACAGAACTAGAACTAGAACAGAACTAGAAAGAACTAGAACAGAACTAGAACAGAACTAGAACAGAACTAGACAGAACTAGAACAGAACCTAAAACAGAACTAAAACAGAACTAGAAACTGAACTAGAACAGAACTAGAACAGAACTAGAACAGAACTAGAACAGAACTAGAACAGAACTAGAACAGAACTAGAACAGAACTAGAACAGAACTAGAACAGAACTAGAAACTAGAACTAGAACTGAACTAGAACAGAACTAGAACAGAACTAGAACAGAACTAGAACAGAACTAGAACAGAACTAGAACAGAACTAGAACAGAACTAGAACAGAACTAGAACAGAACTAGAACAGAACTAGAACAGAACTAGAACAGAACTAGAACAGAACTAGAACAGAACTAGAACTGAACTAGAACTGAATTTGAACTGAACTAGAACTGAATTAGAACTGAACTAGAACTAAACTAGAACTGAACTAGAACTGAACTAGAACTGAACTAGAACTGAACTAGAACTGAACTAGAACTGAACTAGAACTGAACTAGAACTGAACTAGAACCGAACTAGAACTGAACTAGAACTGAACTAGAAAACAAAACTTGAATTGGACTAGAACTGAATTAGATCTAATCTAGATCTGTTCTAGAACTGCCTCTTTTTGTTAGTAATTAATTGAATTTATAGAAATCTAAACAGAAATCTTATAACATTTTATTTATAAATTCATAAAATATCGTTATATTTACGCTTGGAATTTCAATTTCAAATATTAAAATCTGTACATTGAAATACATTTTGTTTATTGTGTCATTTGTAAGATACTTATGCTATTGTTGAAAGCTTTTATTTAAATTTAGACTACATACATTTTAATATACCAAAAACCCCCTCTAATATCTAAAGCCTGCTAAATGTTGGACACAATTGCTGTTGCAATACAATGTCCTTCAGAGTAAAGAAAAAACAATCAGTTTTCAATTGATATATACATATACATACATAGATGGAAATGTGTGTAAATATACAAACAGTTTTGTACATAAAAATACAAATCTAAGTACATACACATACATACATAGATACTTCTCGGTACTGTATATGAAAATTGACATATAAATGTATAAAAATACATATTTGCATGTTCTAAACAACAATAAACGCAAAATAAACAAACTTATATAAACATACACATATACACACATACATACATACTTATGTACATATGAATGTATCTGAAATGCTTGTATCGTTGTACCTCAGAAATATCAATATTTTCTGTATTTCTAGGAATGTTTATTGACTTTAGATTGTTGATTTATTTTGCAAAAAAAAAGCACACAACTCTCATTCAAAGTTTTTTATACAAAATGTTTCTATAATGAAAAATATTGCAATTTAATATTCGATTTTTTTTATTAAAACATTAAGTTCAGTTTAATACTAATATTTCTTTATGTATTTGCATATTTTTAAAAATATTTTTTATTTTTTTCTTTACAGACCATTGATTATATTCGTCGAACAAAAAACAATAATAAATATTAATATGTGTCCTTGCACTCAATTTCCTTCGGTAAGTAAAATATTTTATTTTATATTTTTCTAACGATATTTATTATTTGTTATTGGAGTATGTTAGAATTCGAAATAAATGTCTAGTTTATAAAGAAATGGTACTATTATAGAGAATTCTAAATATGCAAAAAAAAAAATGGAAAAATATGGAAAGTTAATTCAAATATTTCTCTGTTAAAAATCCTTAAGGAAGGATACACATATAATATCTATTTTTTTCTTAAAAAGCAATAGTCATTTTCAACGAACATGTTTATAAGAAGAATTTTTCTATAATTTTGACTTGACATAGACTATAGACTAGACTATAGACTAGACTATAGACTAGACTATAGACTAGACTATAGAATAGACTATAGACTAGACTATAGACTAGACTATAGACTAGACTATAGACTAGACTATAGACTAGACTATAGACTAGACTATAGACTAGACTATAGACTAGACTATAGACTAGACTATAGACTAGACTATAGACTAGACTATAGACTAGACTATAGACTAGACTATAGACTAGACTATAGACTAGACTATAGACTAGACTATAGACTAGACTATAGACTAGACTATAGACTAGACTATAGACTAGACTATAGACTAGACTATAGACTAGACTATAGACTAGACTATAGACTAGACTATAGACTAGACTATAGACTAGACTATAGACTAGA